GGAGTTCGGGACCTGCCTGGCCAACATGGTGAACCCATCTCTACAAAAATACAACAATTAGCCAGGTATGGTGGTGGGAGCCTGTACCCAGCTACTTTGGAGGCTGAGGCAGGTGAATCACTTGAATCCAGGAGATGGAGGTTGCAGTGACCTGAGGTTTTGCCACTGTACTCCACCTTAGTGACAAGAGCAAAACTCCATCTCAAGGAAAAAAAAAAAAAGAAAAGAAAAATTGTGCTAAATTAAAAACGTGCCCTCTTGGGCTTTGAAGTGTGCAGCCCAGCAGCTGTGTCTCATGCTGCTGTGTTTCTGTGCTTTTACAAACCAGGGACCCCGTCCAGGCCCCGGCCCCTGGGCCCTGCCCCTCGGGCGTTTCTGCATTCACAAGCTTGGTTCTCTGGTATCTTCTGGAAGGGGTTGTTTACCACATGGGACTGAGCCGGGAAGCCAAGATCAGGCTGGGCCGGGAGGCCGAGTGCTCATGGCCCGGGCCTGGAACTGCCCTCCTGTGGCTCCTTCAATGCTCTGGGCCCTGGGTGTCCCTGGGGCCTGCAGTAACACCCAGGCTCCCTCCACTGGCTCGGGGACTGTTTCAGAGATTCTGCTTTGGGGCACCCGGACCACGGGAGCCTCAGACTCCCACTCCCAGCCTCCTTTCTTCGCCTCAATTTCAGCTTCCTTGTCCCCATGTCACCTGGCAATCCTGGCCATGAGACTCCACCCCCCCTTATATGAACCAAGTCACTAACCACTGACTCCCTCTCCAGCTGGTCCTGCTGGGGAGTGCCTTCTGCCTGTGAGATGGGGCACAGGCAGGGCAGCTTCTCATGCACAGTGCACAGAAAGCCACAGCCCCCCTCCAGCCCTGCCTCAGGACTGACTCACCCTTCCAAGAATGTGACAGAAACCAGGGCCACTTCACATCAGAAAGCCCTCGGAAGGACGGTGGTCTGGGTGCCTGAGCCACAGCATGGCCCTGGGGAGGGGCCAGGGGAGGCCACCCAGGCCTCTGGTTCTGCCTCCTAACACCGAGTCCCCCACAGGCCGTGCCCAGGCTGGCTCCCACCTACTTCCTGTCCCGGTAATGGGAGGCCAGGACAGCACCCAGGCCACTCCCCAATTCATCTGCAGGCCCACAATAGCCGGCTCACATTCCCAGGCCGCTTAAAATGCAGAGGCTAAACATTAGCCACCCCGCCTTTTGTCCTGTGGCCCTGCGTGTGGCCCCGAGGGAGCGCACCCACTGTGCCCAGCAGCTGTCACCTCCCTTACAATTAAAGCAATTGGACAGCGGCACCTTCCAGCAGACCCACTCTGAAGTGAGGGGCAGATTGGGAGCTCCTCTGGAGCTTTGGGTCTGTCATCCCAGGTATAAAGCATAAGCAGGGCTCTGAAAACCCTTGTCACGGGGCTTTGTTAGGGAAATCCTCATGGACTCTGCCATCCTGGAATGTTTTTAACTGGTTGATGTGCTTTGTTCAAACACTTGCAGTGGAAGATTTTGTTTGAGGAGGGGGCAGACTTGGGGGTAGGCTTGGCGGGCACAGTGGCCACAGGAGGATGCCCACCTCACGCCTGGAGACGTCCATGAGCCCGCGAAGCTGGCTGTGTGGCTGCACTGGCACGTGACGTGCGTCCAGTTTTGGACAGGAGCTCGCATCCCCGGCAGACCGCCCTCCGTCCCACTGACGCTGCGGATAGGAGAGAGAAGGGCGGGGGTGAGATGGTTCCCTCCACCCATGAGCCTGTCGGGGCAGCCTCTGCCCACCCTAGGGGCTCACGGGCCACACTGGCCAAACCAAACAGCAGGTACTGTGAATGATGAAAGCCCCGCGTCCTTGCAGGCTGCTCACCACCATGTTCCTCACCAGCCCCCTGCACCGAATAAGACACCTGTTGCCAGGTGTGGTGGCTCATGTCTGTAATCCCAGCACTTTGGGAGGCCAAGGTGGGTGGATCATGAGGGAAGGAGTTCGAGACCAATCCGGCCAACATAATGAAACCCCATCTCTACTAAAAATACAAAAAATCAGCTGGGTGTAGTAGTGTGCACCGGTAATCCCAGCCACTTGAGAGGCTGAGGCAGCAGAATCACATGAACGCAGGAGGCAGAGGTTGCAGTGAGCCGAGATCACACCATTGCATTCCAGCCTGGGTGCAGTGCAAGACTCTGTCTCAAAAGAAAAATAAATAAATAAAAGCCACCCATGAAGGCAGGACCATGGAAATCTCCCTTCCCTCCTGTGTCTTGTCAGGGCCTCCAAGGAGCAGCCTCTGAAGTTCAAGTTCTATGTGTCCTCTGGGCAGCAAAACTCAAACAGGGCCGTCTCACGTCCACCACACCCCTGCTGCTGGAACCGCCCACTGGGTTCACAGAGCTGCAATGCACTCCTGTCTCCTTCTGAGGACAGACGCTTTCACGAGATCATCTTGCCTCCTCTGACACTTGCATCTTCAGATTGAACAATGTTTTTTGGGAGCTGCCCAGAAGCCAGGCCCCATGGGGACTTCCGCTTTCCTGATGGGAAGCCCCAGAGAGCAAGCTGTTATCAGGTGTGTCTCAGCTTCAGACAGGGCCCTGCCCTCCCAGACTCTGGGAAAATCACACCACCTCTCAGATCCTTAGTTTGCTGCCTGTAAAATGGACGTACACTAATGTCTGCCATAAACTTTACAATCTGGGACTAACAGGTACAGCATAAAGCAGAGAGCAGGGCATCAGAGCCAGAGCTAACTGCCAGGATGCAGATGAAGGCCTGGGACAGACGGCTGGCCCGACGTCCCTCATGGTGAAAGGGGTTCCTTTAGTCTCCCCTTTATAAGCCAAGCGCCTATTGCATTCCAGGTACTGTGCTGGTTGCTCATTAACTAAGACTTGGAAGGCACAGAAGCAGGAGAAAAAGGCTGGGCTGAACAGGCTCCTGGCATGAGTTCGCTCACCACGGCGTGGCCCCCGCACAGCCGCCACTCATGCTCTCCACTCTGCCCAGGAGAATGGTGGTGGGGGAGGGGGAGTGTTCCCGCTGCATGGACACGCCACCAGATCACAATGTCGGGGCCGATTTGAGCCTGGGGGTGCTCACCCTCTCTGACTCCCCAAGTCCTGCATGGTGTCTCCCCTTCCTGGCACTCCCTCCCATATGTGGAGACACATCGGGTCTCCCCACCAGCTTGTGCTCCCATCCTCCCACCACTCCCCAGTTCTAGTGTTTTCTTCTAAACAGAGATAGCAAAAGTGAAAAAACCGGCAGAGTAGGCAAGCTCCTGGTAAAGACAGAGCAACTCAAAGAAGTCCAGGCCTCACATAAACCCTGCAGCTAAAAAGGCAAAGTGAAGCACAAACACCACCGGCTCCCAGGAGAGCTGAGCCACGCGAGTCTGAACCTACTCTCACGTGTGGGTGAGAATGTCATTCTGCTTTTTCTAACTACAAAACCCTTTCCCTCACTGGAACACACGCTGAAACACAGACTCGGGCGCACCACCTCCCGCCTTCGCCACTCTGCTGGCTGACTCTCTGATGCTGCTTCTGGCCTGTGCTGTGGCCAGATGTGGCCACTTGGGGGTAAAGCCAGTCCCCAAAGCTGGGCTGTGTCGGCCTCTTGGGCAAGACTAGGATCGGGGCCCTTGTCTGGTATGGGGACTGCACACATAGCTAAGGGTCCCACTGTCAGCAGAAGGGCTCCTGGGCCCAATCTCTGGGTCTGCCCTCCCGTGTGTGAACAGGTCTCTGTCTTATCCAGCAATGAACTGGCCAATACACTAGTGTGGCCGCTGCATCTCGAGTCCGGCAGGTGAGGAGCCCCTTCCTGGGTGTCAGCCTTGAGGGATCTCTCTGTGCACCTGCAGGTCTGCCTCTCCATGTGTGGGTCTGCGTGCACCTGTGTGGGGCATCTGTGGGCGTGGCATCCTGTGTGTATCTTGCCCATGTGCATCTTGTGTTGTGTATCTGTGTATGTGCATCTGTGTGTGAATCTGCAGTATGCATCTGCAGGTGTGCATCTGTGCGTGTGCACCTGTGGGTGTACATCTGTGGGTGTGCATGTGCAGTGCACCTGGGCATGTGCACCTGCGCATTTGCACCTGTGCGTGATGCACCTGTGTGTGTGCATCTGTGTGCGCCTGTGGGGTTGCATATGTGTGTGAGCCTGCATGTGGTGTGTGGCCTGCATGTGTGTTTGCATGTCTGCGCTCCATGTGCGGGTCTGTGTACGTCTGTGTGTGGGCATCTGGGGGGCTCTGATGCTTCCACAGGAGCAGAGCAGGAGGCTGACTGCCCCACAAGGGGCTGGAAGGGGAGACACAGACCACAAGGGACCATCCTCGTGGGACGCTCTGCCACCGCTCCCCTGACCCTGCAGTGCTCTCTGACTTGGCAAAGTCCTCACATGGGGATGTGGGGCTCCCGGCGCCACACTTACGCCAGGGAGTGGTTCCAGAACACGCAGACGGGCTTGGTTCGCTCCTCCGTCTCCAGCAAGGCAAACTCCACCAGGACAGGCCTCTCCAGGGGTCTTGGGAGCGGAGGCCCCCTCACTGTACATTAGCGTGCTCACCATCGGGGTATTAATGATGGGCCGGTGAGCAGCCTGAGGTCAGAAGCCAGAGCATGTGGACAGACACGATTAGGAAACATTCACACAAACGCCCTGAGGACATGCCACGAATGTGGCTCTAGGGGACACAGAATCACACTCAGAGAGCTCAGAGCCGCAGGCCCCACAATGTCTTCATCCCCCTGCACAATGTGCAGGTTTTATCACTGACAATAGCCCCACAGGGAGATGTGTCATCTTCGGGTCAGAAATTCAAAAAGAAACAGAAGGCACAGGTGCGAAGACATTATAGCCGAAACAGTTAACGGCAGACAAACAGGTGGTGGCTTAAATGTCCAAAGACAGCAGAATAATGGCAGCTCTCAGGAGTGAATCACCTGGTCACTGAGAACCACGTGATCACGAGGACCCCAGAGTCAGGGAAGTGTCTGGGAAACTGCAAAAGGAGGAAAGGCAGAGGCTCGGGCTGCTCCCACTGAGGGGGCCACAAAGCTGCTTCCCGACATCCATCCTTTCCAGCCAGGACAGGCTGAGCAGCCCTAAAGCCCAGGGCCAGCAGCAGGCACCACCCACGACAGCCTCGGGTAGGGCCTGTGGGGACAGCATGGGGTCCCTCAGGGCACAAGATGGGTGTATGCTGAGGAGGGGGCATTTCTGGCAGAAGCACTGGGATAAGCCCAGGCAAGGGTGTATGGTGCTCCAGGGGATGGCATCCAGTGGCAGACCCAGAACCTCCCTCCAAGGGACACCACAGGGCAGTGGTCTCTGTCTCTGGGCCAGGGTCCCGGTGAAATGCTGCCGTGAAGACCTGTGCTTGATCAAGATCAGAATTTTGACTTGTGGAAGCCTTGGGGACCTCTGAAACGGACCCTCCCCATGTCCACATGCCCAGGCCTTACTGAAGGCTTCGGTGGTCTGGGTCATAGCGCTCGGGCAGGAACTGCCCCAGGGTGCGGTAAATGATGACCAGAGCGACGGCGAACTGGCCAGCATCATCAGGGTGTCGCCTCTGCCTGCTGATCGGAGCCTCCCTCTCGGTGCCTGGTCCCAGTCACGTGGTCTGCGGCATGGTCCTCTGGCCGGCCGGTCTCCCCAGGGGGCCTTCTGCAACGTGAGCAGAGCGTGAGGACTCTGGCGGGAACACCTGCATTCTCCAAGGCTGAGGTCAGGGCCAGCAGGCATTTCTCACAAACCAACAGATGTTCCACTGAAAACAATATGGCAGGTCCTCAAAAAATCAAAAATAGGATTTACCGCATGGCCCAGCAAGCCCAATTCTGGTTCTACATCCAAAAGATTGAACACAAGGACCACAGATGCTTGCACACCCACGTTCACAACAGCACCATTCACACAGGCCAAAAGGTGGACACGACGCAGGCATCCATCAACATGTGAGAGGATAAACACACGTGGTCCATCCACACAATGGAATATTACTCAGCCTTCAAAAGGAAGCAGTCTGACACTTACCACGACATGCGTGAACCTAGAGGACATTACGCTCAGAGAAATAAGCCAATCACAAAAGAACAAATAATTGCGTGATTCCACCTATAGGAGTTCCCTAGAGGAGTCCAATTCAGAGAAAGAAAGCACAGTGGGCACTAGGGCTGGGGAGGGGTGTTGGCGTTTTGCGGGCTAGAGTTTCAGATCTGCAGGATGAAGAGAGTTCTGGAGGTGGACTGCTTCAACATGAATGTATCTGATATAGTCTGGATGACTGGCCCCTCCAAATCTCACGTTGAAATGTGATCAGCGTTAGACCTGCACATGGTCGGGGGTGTTGGGGGTCACAGGGGTGGATCCCCCATGAATGGCTTGGTACCTCCCATTGGTAATGCGCAAGTTCTCACTCTATTAGTTCCGGAGAGAGCTGGCTGCAGGGGCGGGGGGGGGGCTAGTCAGTTTCAAACCTCATCCTCTCAGTTTCAGGCACAGCCCCGTATCAGTCACACCCTCTTTTAATGACACGAGATATACCTGACAAAATCGCTTTAGTCACAAGGTTTCAGATTCTAAACGGTCCATTAAGGGGTTTACCTTTTCATGTCCTTTTTATTTGGGACGGTTTTAGTGATTGTCATGGATCTGTGAAAAAGCACCTTAGGAAAATTCGAAATGTTTATACTGTTTTGTATCACCTATCTCAACCCAGGACTGAGGATCTACACATACACAGACGGCATTTCTGGTTGGGTTTTGTGGTTGTTTCTTTCAGGGAGGGGAAGGGGACTCTAAATTTTATTTCTAGTTAAAGGCGGCCTTCCACCTCCCACCCCCCACACAGGTTCTTTCTCTGTTGCATAGGCTGGGCTGCAGTGACATGACCACAGCTCACTGCAGCCTCCATCTCCTGGGCTCAAGAAATCCTCCCGCCTCAGCCTCCGGAGTAGGTGGGACTATAGGTGGGCACCACCATGCCCAGTAAATTAAAAAAAAAAAACTTTTTTGGTAGAAATGGGGTTTCCCTATGGTGCCCAGGTTGCTCTTGAATTTCTGGGCTCAAGAGATCCTCCCCATGTCAGCCTCTCCCAGGGTTGGGGTTACAGGTGTGAGCCATCGTACCCAGCTAGCAGCAGCTTTCACTGCACACCGAAGACCAGTGTACACAAAATTTCAGTTCTGTTTTCCTTGTTCACATTATCAGTTACGTACCATCAGCTGAAATGCTTAGGAACATTTTGGATTTTTGTTTTTGAGACAAAGTCTCACTCTATAGCCCAGGCTGGTGCATCTCAATGCTGCAACCTCCGCCTCCTGGGCTCAAGCGATTCTCATACCTCCACCTCCTGAGTAGCTGGGATTACAGGTGCCTGCCACCACAGCTGGCTAGTTTTTGTATTTTTTAGTAGAGATGGGGTTTTACCATGTTGGCCAGGCTGGTCTCGAACTCCAGACCTCAGGTGATCCGCCCACCTCGGCCTCCCAAAATGCTGGGATTACAGGCGTGAGCCACCGCGCCCAGCCTGGATTTTTTTTTTAAGTATTCATACTTATGCTACAACGAGCACTTCCTTCCAGCGTCAGGTTGGTGCTCCAGAAGGTTCAGATTCTGAAGCAGTTCAGATTTCAGGATTAGGGTGCTCAACCTGTACCTAAGCGCTTGTTTGAAACAACCCGCGGCCACCAAAAGGACCTGGCGCTGGCCAACACTCAGAATACCCCAGCCCTGGATCTTCAGTGCCCAGAGCATGGCATATTCACCCTCCTGGGATGCTGCAGGGGGCTCCCCTCCCAGAACTCTGGGGGTGTCGAGGGCAGCAGCAGGTTTCTAAGAGCTTTTACCTTTTTCTTCAGGTGGTTTGAAGAAGTCAGCTGGGAAGGAGACAGAGGACTGCAGCTCCCTGGGGAACTCTTCCTGAATGGCATCGAACCGTGGCACTGTGGCTCCCCTGAAGTTCAACTTGTCAAAGATGTCGACAGCAAGAACTGGGAAAACAGTTCCTTTAATCAGACATAACCCCCACAGCTGTCTTGAACCCTTGCTGTTTTCTTTTTTTTTTTGAGATGGAGTTTCGCTCTTGTCACCCAGGCTGGAGTGCAATGGCGCGATCTCAGCTCACCGCAACCTCCGCCTCCTGGGTTCAGGCAATTCTCCTGCCTCAGCCTCTTGAGTAGCTGGGATTACAGGCACGTGCCATCATGCCAGCTAATTTTTCTATTTTGGTAGAGACGGGGTCTCACCATGTTGACCAGGATGGTCTTGATCTCTTGACCTCGTGATCCACCCGCCTCGGCCTCCCAAAGTGCTGGGATTAGAGGCATGAGCCACTGTGCCCGGTCGCTGTTTTCAAAATGACTACAACTGTCACACTGATTGACTGGCCTTATTTATTTATTTAATTTTTTTAAAAATTGGTTTTTTGAGATGGAGTTTCACGCTGTCTCCCCCGGTGGAGTGCAGCAGTGTGATCTTGGCTAACTGCAACCTCTGCCTCCCAGCTTCAACCACTTCTCCTGTCTCAGCCTCCCGAGTACTGGGATCACATGTATGCACCATCACGCCTGGCTAATTTTTTGTGTTTTTGGTAGAGATGGCATTTCGCTATGTTGGCCAGGCTGGTCGCAAACTCCTGACCTCAAGTGAGCCGCCTGCCTCAGCCTCCCAAAGTGCTGGGATTACAGGCACGAGCCACTGTGCCCAGCCTATTTATTTATATTTATTTTTTGAGACCAGGTCTCACTCTCTCACCCAGGATGGAGTGCAGTGGTGCAATCTCAGCCCACTGTAGCCTCAATCTCCTGGGCTCAAACAATCCTCCCACCTCAGCCTCCTGAGTAGCTGCGTATACAGGAGCATGCCACCACACCTGGCTAATTTATTTATTTTTTTAATAGAGAAGGGGTCTCACTACAGTGCCCAGGCTGGTCTCGAACTCCTGGGCTCAAGCAGTCTGCCCACCTTGGCCTTCCACACTGCTGGGATTACAGGTGTGAAGTACCACGCCTGGTTGACTGACCATCTTTAGAACAGAATCGATTTCCAGCTTCCTGCACCCCACATGTACCTACACCTGTCTGCAGTGAGCCTGGAGGCAGGACCCTTGACACCCACCCTTCTAGAGCCTCACACCTGAGGGTCTGGAGGACCTGCCGGCTGGACACCCAAGATCATGGCCCAACATCTCCCAAGCCTGGGACCTGGCCCCTGGGAGCAATGGGTGAGTCACTGCAGACTGTCTTCCAAAGACTCCATTCACAGATGAGGAAACAGGCCTAGCTGCTGGTTTTTTTTTTGAGACAGTTTCCTGTCACCCAGGCTGGAGTGCAGTTACCCGATCTTAGCTCGCCGCAACCTCTGCCTCCCAGGTTCAAGTGATTCTCCTGCCTCAGCCTCCAGCGTAGCTAGGACTACAGGCGTGCATCACCATGCCTGGTTACTTTTTCTACTTTTAGTAGAGACAGGGTTTCACCATGTTGGCCAGGCTGGGTCATAGGATTTACCACATGACCCAGCAAATCCACTTCTGGCTCTACACCCAAAAGACTAAAAGCAAGGACCCAGATATTTGCACACCCACATTCGCAACAGCACCATTCACACAGGCCAAAAGGTGGACATGACCCAGGCATCCGTCAACGGATGAGCTGACTCCTGACTTCACATGATCTGCCTGTCTTGGCCTCCCAGAATACTGGAGTTACAGGCGTGAGACACCGCACCCGACCCCTAAATTGTTTTTCTAAGAGCATGGCTAAGCATGGCCGGGAGCCCACCTGCTACACCCATGGGCCCAGCTCCTGGGTAGAGCCCCGATGATCGCGGGGTTCCACACCCCATGCAGCCAGCGCCTTACTCATGTTGGCGGTGACAATGACGAAGGGCCGCAGGTACGTCCGCTGCACGTTGCGTGCCACGTTGCTGAAGTAGCCCTCGAGGTGCTGGAGCAGCTGTGCCGTGCCACCCTCGCTCCACTGGATCTGCTCCCACGCTGTGCTGGTGGCCGGGGCCAGGAGGTTGCTGCCCGAGTAGATGACGTCCTGGTTAGACAGACAGCATTCAGTGCTCTGCCAGCGGAGGGAGGCCTGGCTCTCGGGACCAAGGGACACCAGCCCTGAAAGCCTTTGCTCATCTAGTGGGCTCATTCATTCATTCCGGCCCCGCACTTTAGACTGTGCGCTTTAACATGAGTTTATAATTTTTTTTTTTTTGAGATAGAATCTCATTCTGTCGCCCAGGCTGGAATGCAGTGGTGTGATCTCGGCTCACTACAACCTCCGCCTCCTGGGTTCAAGCAATTCTCCTGCCTCAGACTCCTAAGTATCTGGGATTATAGGCATGTGCCACCACACTTGGATAATTTTTGTATTTTTAGTAGACACAGGCTTTCACCATGTTGTCCAGGCTGGTCTCAAACTCTTGACCTCAGGTGATCCACCTGCCTTGGCCTCCCAAAGTGCTGGGATTACAGACATGCGCCAACACACCCGGCTAGTTTTTGTGTTTTTAGTAAAGACGGGGTTTCACCATGTTGACCAGGCTGGTCTTGAACTCCTGACCTCAGGTTGCTCTACCCACCTCGGCCTCCCAAAGTGCTGGGATTACAGGCGTGAGCCATTGAGCCTGGCCCAGTTTCCAATTTTTTTTTTTTTAAGTTTACCATCTTAAGAGGAATAGATGGTATATTTTTATATAGCTCACAAAGTATATAAAATCCAGAGAATTCAAGATGCTTCATATTTTTGGCCTTATTTATTAGATTTACAAGCCCTGTTTAAATGCTTGGAAGATCTGTTTGCTAGCCAAACTGAAATACAAAAAGAAAAATCAAATATCTGACATATGATTCCATTTAAAATACATAAGGGAATTTGATGGTCTCAGTTTATAAATAGGATCAAACATTAATCAAAGTTGAATTCAAATAGATAAGAAGTATTTTTTAATGTGTGATTTCCATACATCCCGAACCCCACCACATAAACTAGAGAGACTGTGGGTGATTCGCTGCCAGAGGCCTGAACTGTCAGAGTGAGCCCTGCCACAGGTTTTTTCCACATATACCCCAAGATGCTAAGCTGAAGACATGTGGAGACGTCCCTGGTTTTATCAGAACTCCTCCCAAACCCCACTGAGGCCACTGTGGACACACAGGCAGCTCCTCCAAGGGTGACCCTCTGCCTCTGCACCTCGGGGTCTCTGAATGACTGGGTGGAGGTGTGGGGCCATGTTCAGGGGTTTGGGGACCACACCCAAGGTAGAAACCAGGACCGGGCACAATGGCTTACACCTGTAATCTCAGCACTTTGGGAGGCTGAGGCAGGTGGATCACCTGAAATCAGGAGTTTGAGACCAGCCTGGCCAACACAGTGAAAACCTGTCTCTACTAAAAATACAAAAAATTAGCCAGGCATAGTGGCAGGTGCCTGTAATCCCAGCTACTGGGGAGGCGGAGGCAGGAGAATTGCTTGAACCCAGGAGGTGGAGGCTGCAGTAAACTGAGATCATGCCACTGCACTGCAGCCTAGGGCAATAGAGCAAGACCCCATCTTAAAAAAAAAAAAAAAAGAAAAGAAACCGGGAGGGAACTTGTTTGTAGAGTCACGCATGGAGAACAAATGCCACTGGCCCAACTCTCAGGCTGGGACTCAAATCCCAGCGAGAGGACCCTGCCTTGTCTCTGGGAGCCTTGTGCACACCTGAAGCTCTCATGGGGGGCCCTGCATGGATGAGGAGGTCCCTGAGGGCTCCCTGTGAATGGGGTGAGGAATGGGGCATCCCCCACGGGCTCTGTGTGGACAGGCACTCCTCTGGGGGTCCTGCATGGGTGAAGAGACCTGCCCAGAAGTCAAAGGAAACTTCTGGAGCCTCCAAGAGCCGTTTCCAAACATCAGCTGTGTGAGTCTCTTAGCAGACAGTGCTCAGGGGCTGACGACTTCGGCACATGGGGCGGGAGGGTGGAGATAGAGGCGTGGCCCTCTGAAAGCCCACTGCCCCTTAGGAGCTGTGCCTCTGGGCAAACCCCTCAGCTCTCTGTGCCTCCGTTTCCTTACCTGTCAAATGGGTGGATGATATTACATCATAGGCTGTGGGGAAGGGAGAGGGGGCTGATTCAGGTGAGCCACTTAGAACCTTTATTTATTTGTTTCTTTGAGACCGAGTCTCGCTCTGTTGCCCAGGCTGGAGTGCAGTAGCATGATCTCAGCTCACTGCAACCTCCACCTCCCAGGTTCAAGTGATTCTCCTGCCTCAGTTTCCAGAGTATAGTTGAGACTACAGGCACACACCGTCAGGCTGGTCTCTAACTCTTGACCTCAGGTGATCCACCTGCCTCAGCCTCCCAAAGTGCTGGGATTACAGGCGTGAGCCCCTGTGCCCGGTTAGAACCTCTTAGAAGCCACTTAGACCACACTCTGGGCACTACTGAGATCACCCACGGGGCGGTGACCTGTGCGTTTCCTCCCAGAAAACTCCCTAGCCTTCATCGTCAGTTTAGCTGGGGGCCGCACCTGCCGGGGCTCACATTTGCAAAATGAGTGTTTGCCTCGGGGATTCTGGACACAACCATCTTCTACAAGCTGGGGTCGACGCTCGGCCCCATAGCGCCCGCCCACCGGCATCCCTGAGTGTCCCCGAGCTGGGCCTGCGGCCATCCTACCTCGTGGAAGTCAGCATCCTGTGTGGCCGCCAGGTCGAATCCCTGCTGCCGGCTCTCGTGCTGCAGGATGCGGCCCAGCAGCTGGTAGGCCGTGCACCCGTCAGTGCCGGAGAGTGTGGCCGTGTGCCACATGGCGTTGCACAGCGCCCTCACCAGCCGCAGGGCCCCGGCTTCTCATTCTGGAACAGGGAGGCAGTTGCGAGGTGTGCAAACACTTGGTCGCTTTCAGTCCCTGCTGTTACTCAGAAACTCACTACCGTCTGGTGCAAGTTTCCTTGTCAGAAAGGAAGTTCAAAAATCCAAAAGGCTGGCCAGGCGTGGTGGCTCATGCCTGTAATCCCAGCACTTTGGGAGGCAGAGGTAGGTGGATCATTTGCGGTCAGGAGTTCAAGACCACCCTGGCCAACATGGTGAAACCCCGTCCCTACTAAAAACACAAAAAATTAGCCAGGCATGATGGTGCGCACCTGTCTGTCCCAACTACTCGGGAGGCTGAGACAGGAGAACTGCTTCCATCTGGGAAGCGGAGGTTGCAGTGAGTTGCGACTGGGCCACTGCCCTCTAGCCTGGGAGACAGAGTGAGACTCCGTATCAAAAATTTAAAAAATCCAAAACCCCTAAAATGAGCACTGCTGATAGTTCGAACATGGAAAGGACGGGCTGGTGGGCTGCAAAGGACTCGGAGAGAGACAGCCAGTGGGAGACCCAGGAACAACCCCCGTGAGACAGGGCAGGATCAGAGGGCAAATGGGGTCAAACGCAGGGACCCTGTGTTCTCAGAACCAAAGACGCAGAGCCGGTGTCGGGGGACAGTACACGTGGGGGTGCCCAGTTCAGGTGCCAACGCTCCCAAGTCACAGGAGCCCATGGGGCCATCCCTGAGTCATCAGCTGTCCCAACACTCCCCAGCCCAGGAGCCCTGGCCCACGCAAACTCTCCTGCATACACGAGCACACATGCGCCCCCGCTGAGCATGCATCCCTGAGGCACCCCTACCACGGTCCTGAGGTCCACGAAGGAGACGGTGGTGCAGTTGAAGAGCTCTGGGGGCAGCCAGCGTCGAACTGCATTTCCTGGGGAAGGAGAGCAGGAATGCAAAGCCTGACACTCACATTGGTGATCCATGCTGGTGTATTTCCATCCCCAATCTGAATGTACTCAAGCCCAGAACATGGTGTGGTGGTGAGAACCCCATGAGGGCCCGGAGGCACGGTGGTGCCTACAAAAGCCAGAGGCAGGGCCAGTGACTTCAGACGCTTGGGAGAGGCCCTACATCGCAGCACATTTCCTCAGAGACATCCAGACTCCCACCCTCAGGGCACATGTGTCGGCCCCAGGGGTCTGCACCCCTCATGCCAGGGCCATGGCCAAAGCTGCTTTAACACTGACTGACAACCAGGCATTTCAGGCGCCCAGCAAACAGCAGCCAGCACTCCTGAGCAAGTGTGTGAGGAAGAAACCAGCGGCCGGGCATGATGGCTCTCGCTTGTAATCCCAGCACTTTGGGAGGCCAAAGTGGTGGATCATGAGGTCAGGAGTCGAGACCAGCCTGGCCAATATGGTGAAACCCCGTCTCTACTAAAAAATACAAAAACTAGTTGGGCATGGTGGTGCACGCCTGTAGTACCAGCTACTCAGAAGGCTGAGGCAGGAGAATTGCTGGAACCCAAGAGGTGGAGGTTGCAGTGAGCCAAGACTGCACCACTGCATTTCAGCCTGGGTGACTGAGTGAGACGTCGGCTCAAAAAAAAAAAAAAAGAAATCAGCAACACCATCTGCCGGGCAGCCATGATGTCACGCGCCAGGGATCCGCTGCAGCTGGGCCTTTACTTGTGCTGCCTCACTGGACTCCCCAGGCATCCCTCACAGCGTGGACATGGTCACTGTCCCCATTTCACAGGGGACACCTGATGCAATGAACAATGAAGCCATTTGTCCCAGTGCCCCAGGCTGAGCGGCAGAGCAGGGAATGGCCGGGTGTGACTGGCAGGCGTCCCTGTACACACTGTGCCGTTCCTGTGTCTATTACACCCTCTGCCTGCGCTGTGTATTTACTGGTAGCGAAAAGGCGATCTAATTTCTCCCAGCACTTGGCCTGCATGAGTTCCGACATCTCGACTGGCTCTCCCACAAGGACGTGTGCCTCGGTTCCCCACCCGTGGACCCCACCGGCCACAGGGACTCACCGACGGACCCCTTGGGGCATGGCACTGCAGCCGGCTGCCCGAACTTGGTCTGTGGCCACCAAATGCTGGCCTCGAACACTTTGGGACAGCCGTTGAAGGTCACTGGGTTAGAGAAAAGAGAAGGCCGCTCAGCAAGGCACGCTGTGCTGACGGCCACAAACGGGCCCTGCTGTCTGTGTGCGCCTCCCCCCTGCAGGAGGCCCTGCTCCCACTAAGAACCGAACCCTAGCATCTCCCCCACCCCCCATCCATCTCAGAGCTGGAGAGGGGGTGACCAGGCTCTGACCCATGCCCCTCACACAGAACCAGGTTTCTAGAAAGTCAAGAGGACGTAGAACACAAAGGAGCCCAGGGTCCCCCCAAACACCCTGAGCGCACGCACACACGTGCACGCCAGCCCGGCGGCCTGTCCCTGCGCTGTGACCTGCAAGGAGTGAAGGGGCAGCTCGGACCTTCGCAGCCGAGTGTGGTGACCTCGGCGAACGGGTTGTCACAGCGGTTGCACTGGCGGCCGATGACACCAGGCTTACAGGCACACTGCCCAGTGGTCATGTCGCAAGCACGGCTGTGGGAGCCATGGGGGAAGCAGTCACAGGGTAGGCAGGCGTCCTGGGCTGGGGCCTGGTAGTAATTCTCCTGCAAAAGCCAGAGGCAGGGCCGGTGACTTCAGACGCCTGGGAGAAGCCCTATGTCACAGCACATTTCCTCAGCAACATCCAGACTCCCACCCTCAGGGCACATGTGTTGGTCCCAGCCGTCTGCACCCCTCATGGCTACCCTCTGCCCACACCCCACACCCCACACCCGACGGGGGCTGCCTCCCAGGGCCCTACAAGGGAAGCTCTTCCCAGGACAGTGGTTCTCCCGGGAAGCATGACCTCCCTCCCTCACATCTTAGCAAATCCCAACAGTGGGCACCTTCATATCTGTCCTAAAAAGAATCAGAGATCCAAATGGAGGCCCTTGGGTGTTTTTTTAATGTTATTTTGAAAAATCAGAGGCCAGGCACCATGGCTCATGCCTGTAATCCCAGCATTTTGGGAGGCCAAGGCAGGTGGATCAAGAGGTCAAGAGATTAAGACCAGCCCGGCCAACATGGTGAAACCCCATCCCTACTAAAAATATAAAAATTAGCTGAATGTGGTGGTGTGCACCCGTGGTCCCAGCTACTCGGGAGGCCGAGGCAGAACTGCTCGGACCCGGGAGCTGCAGTGAGCCGAGATCACGCCATTGTACTCCAGCCTGGCGACAGAGCAATATTCCATCTCAAAAAAACAAACAAACTAGAAGCCACCTGAACGTCTACCATTGAGCAGGCCAGGGTGACAATCAAGAGCTTGTGCTTTGGGTTCAGAAAGTCCTGGGTTCGTGCCTGACCCTTTTGTTTACCAGCTACACTGCCTGGGCCAGTCACTGGGCCTCCCCAGGCCCAAGTACCACCCCCTCCCCCCAGAAAATGGTGCAGGCTGTGTGACCTGGGCAGACTCGTGAGCAACGTTCAGACTGTGTGTCAGGTGGGACTCCAGCTAGGTGTAAAATGACAGTGAGTGGCAGGCCCCAAAGAGATGCTAAAACATTCACCACCACAGCTGGGGGGGAGATGGGGTGACCGCCATCTTTGTTTGTTTCTTACATTTTGTATAACTTTATTTTATTTTTTGAGATGGGGTCTCACTCTGTTGCCCAGGCTGGAGTGCAGTAGTATCACCGCTCACTGCACCCTCAACCTCCAGGGCTCAAGTGATCCTCCCACCTCAGCCTCCCGAGTAGCAGGGATCACAGGCATGCACCAGCACACCCAGCTAATGCTTTTATTTTTTGCAGAGATGGGGGGGTCTATGTTGCCTAGGTTGGTCTTGAACTCCTGGGCTCAAGTGATACTCCCGCCTCAACCTCCAGAGCAGCTGAGATTACAGGCACGAGCCACCATGCCCTGCCTATAACTTTGGATGAGAAAAAAATCATAGGCAAGTTTTCACCAAGGCACTCCCCAAGTTCCCTCTGCTCTGTCGCCCACTGTGCCGCCACCACCACCTGGTGACATGTTACACTGTCTCGACCCAGGATAGCTGTTTCTTTCAGGACATAAGTCTCACTTGCTGTTGGAAGCAATGAGGGCACTCGGGACACTACTGACATCACAGGACTACATCCAAGGGTGCCCCAGTGCCAGCTTCCCTCCCAGAGCCGGCCACATCTGCAGGAAGCTCATGTCCCCCGCCCAGGCTCCTGTCACCCTCGGACCTAACATTTGGGTTTCAAGTGACTGTGAGCTCCATGGCTGTGGTGTACATGAAGGTCCTGAAGGAGGTGATGGGAGGGGTCCCTAGCGTCTGTGCTGAGAACACGTGTGCACATCTGGAGACCATGAGATGGGAGCTCCGTGCTGCACGCAGGTTAGGACTGAGTGCCCTGGATGGGGGTGGGGCACAACTTACCAACACAATTAGTCATGCTTTCTATTTCAAAACTGCTATTGTCATGGGATGCTAGCTTGGTGAAGACCATGAAAATGGCCAGGCACGGTGGCTCACACCTGTAATCCCAGCACTTTGGGAGGCTGAGGCAGGCGGAGAGTTTGAGACCAGCTTGGCCAACATGGTGAAATCCTATCTCTACTAAAAATAGAAAAATTAGCCGGGCACGGTGGAGGGTGCCTGTAATCCCAGCTACCTGGGAGGCTGAGGTAGAATTGCTGGAACCCTGGAGGCAGAGGCTGCAGTGAGCTGAGATTGTGCCACTGCACTCCAGCCTGGGTGACAGAGTGAGACTCCATCTCAAAAAAAAGGCCAGGAAAACAGCCAACCAGGAGGCCAGGAGGGCCAGAGATGTGCCAGCCCTCTGAAACGGCTGGGCTTCCCACAGCCATGGACGCTGGGCTGGGAGCAGGTAGGGATTCCTGCTCCATGGATGGAGGCTGGCAGGGTTGAACCCGGAGTTTACATGCAGAAAGCAGCCATGGAATATTCACAGGGCACGGGGAGCAGCAAGGAAACCAAAACCACATCTGTGCACAACTGTGGTGTGATGGGCACAGACAGGTGTGCGTGGTGTGTGTATGGGCAGGGCATGTGCAGGCGTGTGAGTGTCTGCAGGCATGTGAGTGCAGGTGTGTGAGCGTTTACAGGCATGTGTCTGCAGGTGAGTGTTCATAGGCGTGTGTTTACAGGCATGTCTGCAGGTGAGTGTTCACAGGTGTGTGTTTACAGGCATGTCTGCAGGTGAGTGTTCACAGGTGTGTGTTTACAGGCATGTCTGCAGGTGTGTGTGTGTCTGCAGGCGTGTGTTTACAGGCATGTGCCTGCAGGTGAGTGTTCACAGGTGTGTGTTTACAGGCATGTCTGCAGGTGTGTGTCTGCAGGCGTGTGTTTACAGGCATGTGTCTGCAGGTGAGTGTTCACAGGTGTGTGTTTACAGGCATGTCTGCAGGTGTGTGAGTGTCTGTAGGCGTGTGTTTACAGGCATGTGTCTGCAGGTGAGTGTTCACAGGCGTGTGTTTACAGGCATGTCTGCAGGTGTGTGTCTGCAGGCGTGAGAGTGCAGGCATGTGAATGTCTGCAGGCGTGTCTGCAGGTGTGCGAGTGTTCACAGGTGTGTTCACAGGCATGTGAGTGTTCACAGGCGTGTGTATAGCGGCCTCCATGCGTGTGTGTGAGCACACACAGCCATCTCCCTGGGCTCAGAGCCTGGGGTGGGCATGCAGGGACCATGGGGCTTGGCCTCACCTTGCATTGGCACCGGCCATTGGTCTTATTACAGTCGGGATCGAAGCCTTTGCTGACAGCACAGTGGCAGGGTCCACAGATGGGGTTCCCCCACCAGCCTCTGGGGCACGGAAGGTCGAGTCTGTCGGGAAAATGAGAGGGCAGATGGAAGGTTTATGTAACGATGCTTTCTAGAACAAGAGGCCCGCTGGTGGCATGGAGACGGTTGACCAGGAAGCTTGGCTAAGCCCAGCTCGGGGAGCTTCCCTTCCACGTTACATGGCCTCAGTTTGCCCTCTACTGGCTCCCACCCTCACCTCCACCCACAGACTGACCATGCCCAAAGCAGCCGTGACAGCGTGTGTTCACTGTGTGTCCCACGTCCACGCCATGCCTGGATCACTGGGGTCTAATGACCACGGACCCCACTGCAAGGCTGGCCTCTCACATCGCAGCCCCACACAGGTAGACTGAGCTCAGCTGCCTGGCACCACTTCTCCAAGGCCACGTGGGGTGAATGGCAGCATGAGATGCCCTGAGGGAGGTTCCTGAACAGGGAGTTCTGCAGTTTCTGTTGTCCCCCAGCCCTATGGATGCTCAGGGCAGCCACGCCCTGGTGTAGCATGCCCTTAGGTCAGTGGCCCATGTCCACGCACTCAGAATCCAGTGGAAGCCAGTCCTGCTTCCCTGAGCCTCCCCCGCAGGGAACAGCAGATGCTGAAGATGAGTGACACTGCAGGGACAAGGCCAGGCCTCTGAGGCGCTGGCGGCGGCTGCACACGAGTCGCCCTACCCGTTCCTGTCATGGGCGGCACCTCCTGCAGCCCCACCTGCCTGCGATGTCCCCACCCAAGTGTCCTGTGGGCTCTTGCATTCCCCATCCTCGCTAACAGAGGTCCCTCTACCCAGCTGCCAGCCTCTCGAGTTCACTCACTTGGTGAGCAATTATTAAGGACTGACTGTGTACAAATCAGGGTCATAAAGACACCCAGGCAGAGATGGAGTCTGGTGTTTATGGATATGTGTGTGTGCGGTGTGGGGGCCCCAGAGCCTTCGTCTCCCTGCAGCTCTGGTGGTGGTGGTGCCAGGCATGGGGTTGCTGGGTCAGCCTCCTGGTAACACCCCCTGCTCTGAGCTGTGTTCCATGTGGCAGCTGGGGGTTCCCCAAAACCAGACCTGTCACTTTTGTGCTGGGCCCCCACAGCCTCCATACAGCCGAGCTCTGTTCCTGGCTTGTGGGCCCACCCCTGTCCTCACCCAGGCCTCTCTGCCTCCCCAGATGACCCCCAGGTTCTTTAGACCAGCCTCATCCCTTGCTCCTCTCCAGCTCGGCTCGGTTGCTTTTGCTCCCAGAATGCCCTCCCGCTTCAGCCTCCCTGGCTCCCACCTCCCTCTCCACTCCCAGGGCACCTCCTCCAAGCCCTCTTGCATCACATCTTGCTGACATCCAAGTGTGGTGTGGTGCCATCTTCTTGAGAGGTCACAAGCCCAAGGCCACAGGCTGCTTCCCACTTACGGGGCTGCAGCCGGGATCACAGCATCTGCTCTAGGCTCAGGTATACAAAGAAGAGAGTGTAGCAGGTGTCCCTGCACCTGATGCCCACCAGCAGCTGAGGCCCATGAGCCGTGGGGGCATCCCCTCCCTCCACGGGGGCCTGGAACTGTGGTTTATGAAGAACCAAGCTGCTCCACCTTGGACAAACTGATGCTCTGCCATCCCTGTGCAAAGGGCACTCCGGGAGCCCCGAGAGCACGCTACTGCCAGTCCTAACACCACCAGGATCTCCACACACATCAGACACGACTTCAACCCCACCGACTCGAGAAAGTGTTCTGTATAATCACACCCATCTCCCTGCATCTCAAGGGGCCTGTTTGCTCTGGGCACAGGACTCCAGATGAATGAGTCGTGTTACATGTTTCTGGGGTGGACACGTGATCCAACAGGGTTAGTTTGAGATGTCCAAATTGATTCTTACTGCCCAGGTACAGTGGCTCACGCCCGTAATCCTAGCACCTTGGGAGGCTGAGGCAGGAGAACTGCTTGAGCCCAGGAGGTGGAGGTTGCAGTGAGCCAAGATTGGCCCACTGCACTCCAGCCCAGGTGACAGAGCAAAACTCTGTCTCAAAAAAAAATATGTCCCTGTTATCCAGAGTTACACATATCTTTGGGTCAAAATAAGGAAGAGGAGACACCAACTCAAGAGCGAGGATGGCCAGGTGGACTCTGCAGGCATGGAGTCTCGCTATGTTGCCCAGGCTGGTCTTGAACTTCTGGGCTCAAGCAAGCTGCCTGCCTTGGCCTCTCAAAGTGCTGGGATTACAGGCATGAGCCACCTTGCCTGGCCAGCCTTGTCTCTCTGTCTGTCTGTCTCTCCCCCCGCCCCATATATATATATATACACACACATATATATATATTTTTTTAAGATGGAGTCTCACTCTGTTGCCCAGGCTGGAGTGAAATGGCACAATCTTGGTTCACTGCAACCTCAGACTCCTGGGTTCAAGTAATCCTCCTGCTTCAGCCTCCCGAGTAGCAGGGATTACAGGCATGCACAATGACACCCAGCTAATTTTTGTATTTTTAGTAGAGATGGGGTTTCACCACATTGGCCAGCCGGGTCCTGAACTCCTGACCTCAGGGGATTCACCTGCCTCAGCCTCCCAAATTGCTGGGATTATAGGCGTGAGCCACCACGCCTGGCCGGCAATAACATTTTTAATGTAGAGATGTACTACACTTAATTTAATGATTCCTTGGTTTCTGAAAACATGAGCCAGATCGTTCACGTTTCCAGCACTATAAATAACACTGCTATGAACATCTTTGTGCACTTTGGATTTCTTCAGTAAGACAGATTCCTCGACCTACAACTGAGGGATGAAAGGGAAAGCAGCTTGGAGGTGCTGCACAGGGCAAGGGTTGTTCTAACGCACAAAGCATCTGTGAGTTGCTCAGAGCTGCCCTGCCTAGGGAGAAGGCCCCACCTGCAGAGAAGGTGAGCTGCACCTGCTCGTCCACAACCTCCAGGGCAATGAAGTGTTTCTCATTGAAGCGGCCATTGTAGAGCAGCAGGCCGTTCCTTTCCTGGGTGGTAAACCTGCGGAGCCAAGCAGAAGCACATCACAGGCTGAAGACCCCAAGGTCAGAAGGCTCCCCAGGCGTGACAAGCCCAGCCAGAGGAGGGCGGGCGCTGGTGACCACGATTCAGGAAGAAATGGCCTCAGGCATGCATCCTTCCCAGGGAAGCAGAAAGCCCATCAAGCTTGATGAGCAGCATTCTTTTCTGGAAGTAGCAAACCAGAATCCATGGGGAATCTGGATACTACACCATGTAGAATGTGAACAGATCCCATCTGCGGCCAGGCGCGGTGGCTCACGCCTGTAGTCCCAGCACTTTGGGAGGCTGAGGCGGGTGGATCATGAGGTCAGGAGATTAAGACCATCCTAACATGGTAAAACTGTCTCTACTAAAATATACAAAATTAGCTGGGTGTGGTGACACACGCCTGTAGTCCCAGCTACTCGGAAGGCTGAGGCAGGGAATCGCTTAAACCAGGAGGCTGAGCCAAGATCGCGCCACCGCACCCCAGCCTGGGTAACAGAGACTCTCTCAAAAAAAAGGAAATATCCCATTTGCACAACATGCTATAAGCACAGCCCATAGCCAGGACACCTGTTACAGATATGTTTGGACAGAAAGCATGTGCTATATATTCTCTTACTTTCTTTTTTTGAGATGGAGTCTTGCTCTATCGTCAGGTGGGAGTGCAGTGGTGCGATCTTGGCTCACTGCAACCTCTGCCTCCCGGGTTCAAGCGATTCCCCCGCCTCAGGCTCCCGAGTAGTGAGGACTACAGGAGCCCACCACCACGCCCAGCTAATTTTTTGTATTTTAGTAGAGATGGGGTTTCACCATGTTAGCCAGATGGGGGCTGGTGGGCGGGGTCAGTGTCAAACAGCCCTGCACAGCTCCCCCGGCAAGCACCCTCCACCGCTGGGGATGGAGCAGTAAAGATGAGACCCAAAGCCTAGTGGAGGGTCGGAAGAATGCAAGCAGAAAGAGGAAAGGCCAGAAAACAGAAACCAAGGCCCTGAGAGGGACCCTGGGGAAGGAGGAGGAAAAAACAAAGAGCTGGGGGGATGATAGGCAGCTGGGAACGGAGCCCAGAGCCCACTTGGGAGCCCAGACGCTTGGCAAAGAGAAACCAGAAAGAGGAGAAGGGGCCGTGAAAGAACCCACCTGAAACAAAAGCAGCGAGGCGCCCCCCCAACCCGGCCCCTCGCAATGGCTCTCAGAGGCTCAAGAGGGCCCCGTCCCGCCCACAGCCCCACTGCTCCCGAAGTGGAACTGCCCTGGCAGCCTGGGAGGCATCTTACGATTTTGCTTTTAATGGCATTCCCTACAAAACCCTCGGTGATTTAGCATCGGCTCTGCTTGTTCAGCCACCATCACATATAGTTCATCAATTGCTGTCCAGTACCACAGTCTCACAAATATAAAATCTGACAAGCAGCAGCACAGCCTTCTCTTGTGCACACATGTCATTCAACATTTTTGGAGGTGGAGAGGATAGTGGTGGTCACCAGCTGCAGAGGGTGCAGGGAAGGGCTGGAGAGAAGTGGGTTCAGGGGTACAAATAAAGACACAGTAGAAATAAATCATTTTCTGTTGCTGTTTTGAGACAGAGTCTCTGCCGCCCAGGTTGGAGTGCGGTGGCACGATCTCAGCTCACTGCGACCTCCACCTTCCAGGTTCAAGTGACTCTCTTATCTCAGCCTCTTGAGTAGCTGGGATTACAGGTGCCCACCACCACAGCCGGCTAAATTTTGAGCTTTTAGTAGAGACAGAATTTCACCATGTTGGCCAGGCTGGTCTTTAACTCCCAGCCTCAGGAGATCCACCCGCCTCGGCCTCCCAAAATGCTGGGATCACAGGCGTGAGCCACTGTGCTCAGCTAGGAATACACTCTAGTATTCAACAGCATGGGTGGGAACACAGAATTAACAATAGTTTATTGCATATTTCCAGAAAACTAGAATAAAAAAGTTGCAGTGTTACCAATACAAAGAAAACAGAAATGTTCGAGGTAATCAATTTCCAATCACCCTGATTTAATCACTACATATTGTATAAGGTTATCAAAGTATCACATGCACCCCCACAATATGAAAAGCTACTATATATAACTTTTTTAACTTTTTTTTTTTGAGACGGAGTCTCACTCTGTCGGCAGGCTGGAGTGCAGTGGCGTGATCTCAGCCCACTGCAACCTCCACCTCTGCCTCCCAAGTAGCTAGGATTACAGGCACCCACCACCACGCCAGACAAAACCAACAAGAGCCAGGTTTTGCTCTTGTTGCCCAGGCTAGAGTGCAATGGTGTGATGTTGGCTCACTGCAACCCCCACCTCCTGGTTCAAGTGATTCTCCTGCCTCAGCCTCCCAAGGAGCTGGGATTACAGGCATGCGCCACCACGCCCAGCTAATTTTGTATTTTATTTATTTATTTTTTGAGACAGAGTCTCACTCTGTTGCCTAGGCTGGAGTGCCATGGTGTAATCTCAGCTCACTGCAACCTCCACCTCCAGGGTTCAAGCAATTCACCTGCCTCAACCTCCTGAGTAGCTGGGACTACTGGCACGTGCCACCACACCCGGCTAATTTTTTATTTTTAGTAGAGACAGTTTCACCACGTTGGCCAGGCTGGTCTCAAACTCATGATCTGGTTTGAGATCCGCCCACCTTGGCCTCCCAAAGTGCTGAGATTATAGGCATCAGCCACCACGCTCAGCCTAATTTTGTATTTTTAGTAGAGATGGAGGTCTCATTATGTTGGCCAGGCTGGTCTTGAACTCCTGACCTCAGGTGATCCACCTGCCTGAAGTGCTGGGATTACAGGCTAGAGACACCGAGATTGGTCTGGAGCTACTCAACTGTCAAAAGCCACACGTGGGGGACACAGACATCGCCATCTCGAAGGACACGAGCATGGAGACAGCTCGCCCCTTTCCTAAAGAGACCCATGTGACGAGGCGGGAGGCACACTCACGTGAGGGAGACGGTGAAGTGGAAGTGCTGTCTCAGGCCCCGGAAGGTGACAAAGGACCGGGGTGGGAAGCTCCTGGTGGTGACCTCACAGTAGGGCCTCTCGTACTTGCCGTGGGGGGGGGGCACATGCAGTGGAAGCCGCCGATGAGCAGGTTCACACAGGTGCCCCCGTTCTTGCACACCCCGTTGGCACAGTGGCCTGAGCAGGCGTCCACCTCGAAGTGTTCTCCTGCAGGGTGAGAGGAAGACACCAGAGAGGAGGTTACGGAGCAGCCAGGGAAGAGCCCACGGGCCCCTCGAGGACCCCAGGCACATCCCAGCCACAGAGTCAGCTGCTGAAAGAAAACCTGACTGACTCTGGGTCAGGGCTGTGACATGAACAGAATCCCCCCCCCCACCAACCCCAGCTCTTGGGGACTTGCCCAGAGCTGTGCCAGAGACAGCTGCACCCAGCTTCCAGTGGGCAAGCCAAGGATGGTAGCCGATGGGGAGGGGGTTCCAAAAATCACTCCCTGGGGTCAAAGAAAATGCATCAACAAGCCCTTCCCAGGCTCTAACCCCGCTGTGAGCACCCTGTGGGGTGAGCTGGACTCTTCTGAGGGCCTCACGCCCCACCCCACGCCTGTGCCCGTGTGATGGCAGAACATAGGGAGCCTCGTTGGAGATTCAGAGCATGCCGCCATCACACAGCCCAAAGGCCACTTCTGAGCAGGCTGCCTGCCCTGCCTGCCGCACGCCCTCCCACCCCACACACAGACCCCTCGCACTGTCTGGTCACCCCTGGATTCCAACTCGGTTCTAATCTTGCCCGTCTCACTCAGCAGCCTGTGAGCTCCAGAAGGGCAGGCATCATCACCCTGCTCTGATGTCCTCCCCAGAGTTTAAACTCCTCTGTGACAGGAAGGTTCTGGAAGCTTTCCTGGAGTGACCAGCCAGGCGGCCCATCGCACACTGCCTTTGCCCCTCCCTGTCGGCCCTCAGAACAGGAGTGCTCAGAACTTCATCTGCTGGGAGGGGCTCATGTTCGCCATGCTTCCAGCCAGCTGTTCCTGGACTGGCTACTGCATCCTCCTGCAGCCAGGGGTGTGGCCGGTGACACTCCCACCCCCACATGGGGACAGTGGCCTGCAACCCACACAGCCCATGCTTCCTCCTCTGGCTTCTGAGGTGAACACTGGCCGGAGTCTCCTCTCAGACCTTCAGGGGCTTCCAACGACCAGAAAATTTCCAGCAACATTCTCTCCCAGGTATGGAATTTTAAATGAATGCATTTAAAAAAATATTACATTCACATCCTAAACAAACAAACAAAAAAAACACAGTGCAAAATGTATGGTGTGGGCCGGGCGCCGTGGCTCACGCCTGTAATCCCAGCACTTTGGGAGGCCACGGCAGGTGGATCACCTGAGGTCAGGAGTTTGAGACAAGCCTGGCCAACCCGGGGAAACCTGTCTCTACAATATTCACCAACAAATAGGCTGTACCGCCACAACTGCACAGAAGGTTTGTATCATCAAAACCGAATCTGTAAGTTTCACATCTATAAGCAAACAACTGTAACCGGAAGCTGTGAGCAATCCAAGCCCTCCTATATCACAGAATTACAGCCAACCTCGGAAACGAAACAAATCAGAAAGTTAACTTGTTAATTCTTCCAGGGCTCCCGTGGCAATGCTGCGTCCTAATAACTCACTGTTGAAATAGCTCCTCTGAAACTGACTCAAGCAGCGAGCCAATCCGAGCTCTTCCTGGCTGTGGTCTTATAAATAAGGTCGCCTGCCTGCACCAGCACCCTTGGATGCATGGTCAGGCAAACCTCAAAGAGCCACTGGGGGACCTTTATTGTTCCCCCAGCCCCGCCAAGTGCTTCTTTCTCTTCTGCGTCTTCCAATACCAACACATTCTATTAGTACGGCCCCCCACCCCGCAGCACCACAGGCCAGCCCTGGCCCTCGGAGTCAGAGGCGTGGAGGACCTGCCAAGCATCTGACCACGGAGCCAAGGTTTCCTCTCCCTTCTGTGCACCTCCAGCCCCAGGGCCAGCAAGCAAGCTACCCACACTGGCTCCACCACTAACTGGGCAGGCCTCTTCAACAGCTCCCAAATTACAAGCCCGTGTCCAAGAGCAGAAGCCAAGATGAGATGAGGCTATGCTTTTCAAAGAGCTTACACAAAGCCCTGCACACAGCCACCCATCTGTTATTATCTCGAGGAGACAGAAAAGCAAGACCAAGGGGACACCGGCTACATCACAGGGTGACTCAGGGGCCGTCTGACAATCTCCAACGGTGCCACCCTGGAATTAATTGGCACATGGAAGGGTCAGTGATCTCTGATCTTCCCAGAGAGCCCTGTGGCTGGCTGATGAAAGAGCATACACAAGCAAACCCTGTGACCCAGATCACCCGAAGGCCACATTTTAATAGCTGTACTCAGGAGCCACTAGCTTGCTGAGGAAGGCGCTGAGCCCTGGTCTTGAACTTGGAGAAGCGCGGGCCTTCTCCCAAGAAAATGCTGACGGAAGTAGCATGGTGCCTCTCCCCCAGCTGGGCCTAAGTGGGACGCTTGCCCCAACATCTAACTGGAGGCAACAAATCCTTGCAGAGCTCCCCACGCCCGGCCCAAATGCACCCCAGCATGCCAGGCAAGGCCCTTGGTGGGTTCCTGAGGTTCTCCAGGCGGCCCATCCAGAGCCGCTCCTCCAGCCCTAACCGCCACTCACCAGACACAGACACCTCGGGGACGAGCGCCTCCAGTGGCCGCTTGTTGTCCAGGTCCCAGCTGAGCGGCAGCTCGCCCGCGGTGGGGTCCAGTAGCAACAGGTGCAGTTCGTTGCCACGAAGGAAGGTGTAGTTGAGGCTGTCCGACAGGTCGGGGTCATGGGCTGGGATGCAGCTGATCACGCCGGTGAGGAAGCTGTTCGACTTGTTGGTGACAGAGTTGTTGAAGAGGATCTGGAAGTTGGGCAGTACCGGAGGGTTGTCATTCTGGTCCACGAGAAGAATGCACACCGTGGCTTGGCTCACCAGTGGGGCCGATGTGGCCTGCACCACCAGCACGTACTCTCCCACCGGACCTCAAAGTCCAGCTCCACCAGGGCATGCAGGTCCCCATTCAGCAGGTCCAGCTGGAAGAAATGCCGAATGTCGCCCTCCATAATCTGATACATGAGCTGGGCATTGGGGCCTTCGTCAGGGTCCTGAGCACGGATCTTTGCCACCACCGACCCCACTGGGTTGTTCTCCTCTACAAACAGCTCCAGCTCGTCCTTCTCAAACATGGGGGCATTGCCATTAATGTCCAAGATGGTCACTTGGCTTTCCACCGAGGCGCTAAGGGCAGTGGGGCTGCCGTGATCCACAGCCACAGCCCAAAGGTTGTACACAGCCACGTTCTCCCGGTCCAGCCGGCGCTGGGTGTGGATGACACTGGACATGGGCTCGATGTAGAAGTCCCCATAGCCATCGTCCCCACCCTGGAAGGTGTACAGCAAACGCCCATTGGGACCCGAGTCCTGGTCCGTGGCGGAGACCTGGAGGATGCTGGTTGAGGGTGGAGCATCCTCAAAGATCGAACCCTGGTAGAAATCCCACAGGAACTGGGGCGTATTGTCGTTGGGATCGAGGATGAGGATCTCCAGGGTGGTGGTGTCCGACTTCTGCGAGATGCCGTTGTCCAGGGCCATGATGGTCAGCGTGTAGGCGACCTGGTGCTCACAGTCCAGCTCTATCATGGTGTACATGGTGCCACTGTCGGGATCATGGCACGGGGTCCTGAATCATGTAGGTGATGCGGGCATTCTCTCCTGTGTCCTCGTCGTTGGCACTGAGGGTAGCAATGGAGGTGCCCACGGGCCTGTCCTCACTGACGCTCACCGTGTAATGGGCGCTCTGAAAGACCGGCCGGTGGATGTTGGCGTCGGTGACGTTGATGAGGACATGCGCGGTGTGCGCCGTGTGCCGTCCGTCCGACGCTGTCACCGCCAGCACGTACTGCTGCTACTGCTTGTAGTCTAGAGGTGGCGCCAGGGTGATGAGGCTGCCTCCCCTCTGGCTGCTGAGCGCAAACCGGTTCCAGGTGTTGCCGCCCGTGAGCTGATAGGTGATCACACGGTTGGCGTTGCGGTCGCAGGCCTGCAGGGTCAGCACGCTGCTCCCCACGGCTGCATCCTCGTTCAGACGCAGCTAGTAGGTGGTCTGCGTGAACACCAGGTCGTTGTCGTTCACGTCCAGCACCGTGATGGAGACGCTGGTGGAGGAGCTCATGGGAGGCGAGCCGTGGTCCACCGCCTCCACCCCAAAGCTGTAATGCTCCACCTCCTCACGGTCCAGCTCGGCACACAAAGTGATCCAACCGGAGCTGTTGTGGATCTGGAAGGGGAAGTCCGGGGCGGGACAGGGTTCTTAGGCCCAGCGCTGCCGCCCCCCAGAAAGGCGGAGGCCATGTCCACCAGGCGATAGTGCAGCCGGGCATTCTCCCCAGAGTCTGCGTCTACCACCTGAATGTGCACCACGGAGTAGCCCAGGGGCACGTTCTCCAGCACCATGGCCTGGAAGGGGCTGCTCACAAAGATGGGCTCGTTGTCATTGACATCCAGCACCTGCACAGACACAACCCCGGAGGAATTGATGAGCGGCGGCCGGCCCCCATCCTGGGCTTTAATGCTCAGCAAGTACTTCTGTACATCCTCGAAATCCAGGGGGTTGATGTCATCCAGGATCCCGCTCAGTGAGTGCAGGTAGAACTGCCAGGCCAGGTTCCCGCTGAGGAGGCTGTAGTGAATGGCCGCGTTCTGGCCCTGGTCCCGGTACGAGGCCTGCACGCGAAGCACAGCCGCGTTGAGACCCACGTCCTCGGGCACCTGGACCACGTAGTTCTGCTCGCTGACCTGGGGGTAGTTGTCATTCTCGTCCTCCACCTGGATGTACACGGTGGCCGTGGCGCTGAGTGGGCCTGGGTTGCGGCCCTGGTCGCTGGCCTCCACCAGCAGCTGGTACTCGGCTGCCTCCTCCCGGCCCAGCACCGCGCGCATGCTCACCACGCCGGAGCTCGCGTTCAGCTGGAAGATGTCGCACGCGCCCCCCAGCATGCGGTAGCGCATGTTGGCGTTGACGGGCGAGTCATCTTCGCTGGCGCGGATGGTCAGCACCTTGTAGTCCACCTCGAGGTTCTCCAGCATGGGCTCGCGGTACTCTGACTGCTGGAAGACCAGGCTGCGGTCGTTGGTGTCTTTGACCAATACGGTGATGCAGGTGGTGGCCTAGCGCAGCTGCGTGCTGTAGTCCACGGCTTTTACCCTGAGCACGTGCATCTCCTTGGTCTCCCGGTCCAGCTTGCTGGCCTTGCTCACCGCGTCCGTGGCGGAGCCGATGCGGAAGTAGCCCCGGGAGCGCTCGTCGAACAGCCCCTTCATGTAATAGCCCACGCGCTCCTCCTCGCCCTCGATGGTGTAGTGCGCATGAAGCTGGAGGAGGGGGGTGCCCGCCGGCTCGTTCTCAAACAACGCCACTTGGTAGTTGGGCATCGGGAACTTCAGGCTCCCTCTGCCACTCGTGCCCCGGGACCGTCACACCGGACCCGCCCGGGTTTGGGGCAAGTTCGGCGGAGGCGATGGCGATGGCGACACGAAGGTGTCCCCGAGGCGGCGGCCTCCAGTGCCAGCTCCACCGGGACGGCGCCAGCCGCGCATCGCAGGGCGCACAGCAGACACAGACAGATGGGGCGGCCGGGACAGCAGGGCCCGGGACGCGGTGGGCAGCTGCAGGCGGGGACGGTGGTTGCGGCCGCGCCGCCACCGGGCACCGAGAAGCAGAGCGCCCGGCAGAGCCCAGGCCCTGGGAGCACAGCCCGCGCGCGCCGGGCACGGGCTCGGCAGCCGGGATGGTGCGCGCGCGCCCGCAGGCGGAGGCTCAGCGCCGTCGGGGCACCGCGGGCCTCCAAGCGGACTTGCAGCAGCGGGCGCCGGCCAGGTGCATGCAGCTCTGGGGCCGGGCGCCCGAGACGCGCCGCCGTCCTGCCAGCCGCCCCTCGCGGCCCACGTCCAACAGCTCCCGGGGAGTTTGCGCGGCGCCCACCGCGTAGTACGGCGGGGCCCGAGGGTGAAGGTTCAGGCCCTGCCAGGGACGCGCAGCTCCCAGGCGGAGGCTCGCAGCCCCAGCGCCGGCAGGGCGGCGGCGGCCAGGAGCAGCAGCACGGGCAGCAAGCGGGGGGGAGGGGGGGGGGGCGGAGCCCGAGCCTGCCGGGCGCCCAAACACAATCCACGCACCCGCCACGCCTCCTCATCCACCCGGCGCCCGACCCTCGTGGCGGGCCGCGTCCTGCCTCCCCGGGGGTCCTGGCGGGGACTGTGGGGACCGCGCGCCCGGCCTCCCCCGCAGCTTCCACTTCTAGAGCACTTTGCGAGTTTGCGAAGTTGGTTTCAAGATGGCTCCTCCGCGCGTCCCGGGAGGGCGCTGCGCATCAAAGTGCGGCGGCGGCTCCAGGTGGCTCCTGCATGGGCTCGGCCTGGCAGGCGTGGGAAGCGGGGGCCCCGCCCCCCGCCCCCGGCCCCCGCCGCGTATTGTTCGGCGGGGGAGGGGGGCTGGTGGTCCTGGTTAAGGGAGCAGGGCCGGGAGAGGTGGGGCTGGGGCCCCCGTTGGCCGCTACCCGTGGGGCAGTGGCTCCACACCTCGGGCGCTGGGCCGCGGCTCAGAGCCTGGCTCCTCACCCCGGCAGAACAGATCCACAGAGACCGCCGCTAAGGGTGCCGCGCGGGTGGGACCCGGGGGCTGAGGGCTGGGGCTGAAGGGCCAGGGAGTCCCCCATTAAGTACTGCGGCGGCTGTCCAGAGGGGGTTACCCATTTTACAGCAAGAGGCACGGAGGCTAAAATGCTTCGCGCGGACTAAAACTCCCTGGACTTTGAAACCCAACTGGCAGCTACCGGATCTGCGTCCCACTTGGTATTAACTTAAAGAAGAAAGCCGGGTTGACATTAGGGATTTGGAGCGGAGGGCGGAGGCGCGCTCATCGGCGGCCGGCTCCGAGCGTTCGCGGACGCGCTGCGGAGTCCCAGAGCGTTCAGCTCCTCCCGAAGAGGGTTGAGGGGGACTGGGGGCCCTGGAAGCCGCCTGTGGCGAGCAAACACCCGCGGGGATTTAGAGCTGGCAACGGCCCCGCCCCGGCCTCCTGCGGAGGCCAGCAGTGCGGGGACGAGGGTAGTAGAGACCTTGGAGCTTTCAGAACCGTAACACACACACCCGCCTCCTGCAGGGAACCACGGGCGGGGCGGGGACAGCTTTAGGTCCCAGAGTCCGGTACACCTGCCTCCGGATCCGGCACAGCCATAGAGGGGGTGAGGGCTTAGGACTTCGCGAGCCCCCCCCCCCCCCACGGGCAGGGCTTTGGGACCGTGCGACATCACCCCTCCTGTGGGGCTTTGGGACTGTGCCACTAGCGGCTGGGAAGGACACGCACTCTCCCTCGGTGGCGCTGGGGCGCCTGAATTCAGGGCAGCCCTTAGGCCTCCCAGTGGTCGGGGACCCTAGGTGGAGGGCTCCTGGGGCGGGTCGGAGCCGTGGGTGAGAGTATTGCGCAGTCACCTCTAGAGCGGTCTTTTTGGCAAGGGAGGGTCGGATCCTGCAGCCAAATATCTGAGCTGAGCTTAGATGAGTCCAGTCTCAGCGAGAACCGTGGGCGGCTGCGGAGACCCGGAAGGGTTTCTCGCTGAAGCCAGCGGTATGTCTGTGTGTGTCACACCCATACTCAGCCAACTTCACTCAAAGCGTTTGAAACAATGGTTTCGGGCTGAATGAAGCCCAACGCGAGCATTTTCTTCCCAGTATCAACTATGTGAAGACGTTACATTGATCTAAAAGGTGGAGTTGCGCCGAGCGCGGTGCCTCACGCCTGTAATACCTGCACTTTGGGAGGCCAAGGCAGGTGGATCACGAGGTCAGGAGCTCAAGACCAGCCTGGCCAACAAGCTGAAACCCTGTCTCTACTAAAAACACAAAAATTAGCCGGGCGCAGTGACAGCGCCCATAATCCCAGCTACTTGGGAGGCAGAGGCAGGAGAATTGTTTGAACCTGGAAGGCGGAGGTTGCAGTGAGCCGAGATTGCGCCACTGCACTCCCTCACAGGATGCCAGGAAGGAAATGGAGCTACTACAGAGGTGGTGAGGTGCCAGGGCCCACGGGGGGCCCACCTGTTGCTCGGGGGCGAGCACCAGGCGCTGGGTAGACGGGGGTCCGTGCGTGCCTGTGTACGTGCGTGGGTGTAAGCGCACGTGTGTTTAGACAGCGCGTGCAGGGGCCGTGCGTGCGTTTGTGTGCGGTGCGCGCGAGTGTGTCCTGCGTGTGCACGGGCGTGGCGGCGGCGGCGGGCGCGCGACCTGGCCGCGGTAGTGCGTGCCCGTCGCTTTGCGCGCCCGCCCGCCGGAGCGCAGCATCGCCTGCGGCCAGGAGTATGCATGCGTGGGGTGAGTGAGCGAGTCGGGGGCCCGGGCGCGGTGGCCTGCGGAGAGCAGCCGCGGGGCGCCACCGTTCCGAGGACGCCCTGGCACCAGGCCCAGCCCCCAGGTCTCACGGCCGGCCGCCCCCTCCCAACCAGCTAGCCGCGGCCAGGGGGGCTGCGGAAGAGGCGGGGAGGGGGCGTCGGGAGAGGCCTGCAGGCGGCCAGGCCGAGAACCGCGTCCTCCCTCCCGGGTGCCGGCAGCGGGGGACCGCCGCGGAAGGGCGGGGCCCCCGGGCGGGCAGCCTGAGACCCTTGAGGAGCCCTGAAAACAAAAGGAGATGGCGACGACTCCTCCGAAGTCAAAACAACCTTCGCTGGCGGGGGCCCAATGCTGGGCAGCGGACTCCAAGCCCTCTGCCTTAACCCCTTCGCCGCCGCTGCCTCCTTCCTGCTCCTGGCAGGAGGCTGCAGGGGCCGACCCCACCGGGAGCCGGCGAGGTGCGGGCGAGGTGGGGACTCCTGGCTGCGGCCGGACGGGGGTGGGACGGCACCCAGGCACGCTGCGCTCCCGGCTGCCCTCTGGTCCCCTTTACCGCGCGCGTCCTCCCGCCCCGCCCCGTTTCCCACCTGGATTCGGGGTAGACTTGCCAACTCACCGCTCTGTGAGGCTGGGAGGGGACGGCTCCGACCCCAGCGCTCCGGCAGATTTTTTTATACCCTATCTCCTGTGCAGCTAGGCTTTTGCAGGCGGCGCGCTCCGCACCCTGCATGCGGGGGAGAGAGGTGCTTCCTCTCCTAGGGCGGGGGCACAGGTACGGCGAGGCCTCAGGCACAGAGCGCCCCGGGAGCTGGATTCCTTCAGAGCCCCCTATTCCTTCAGTTCTTCCCCTATCCGAGTGCCCGAAACCTACCTGCGCCTCTGTCCCTCCGTCTCGCCCTCTAGCTCTCTCTCCCTGTTACCCACCCCCCAGTCCCCGCGTCGGAGACACAAGCTGCTTCTAGACAGTGCTTTGGGGCCGGGCATGCCCTGCGCGTGCCGGAGGGCGCCCACCCGGACCCCCACCGGGAGCCAGGGTGGGACCCGAACCCCGCCGGAGATCGGCGTGGATGGCACTGGTGGGCAAGCTTGCACCTCCTGGGCAAGCCGGTGGCAGGACAGAGCCTAAGCCGAGGCTGGCGCCGAAGTGGGTTCGGGAGGACGCGCTGCCTTCTGCACCCGGGGCGCCACCCCACCCCCTCTTCCCTGGCCCGGAACGGGCTTGTTCTCGGGTTCCCGAGGGGTGGGGGGCAGGTCCACACACACCCTCCCCCGACGCGGAACGGGGGAGCCAGGTTCGCCCGCGGTTGGAAAGAAAGCCACCGCTCTTGCCGTCCCTTAGAGCCTGTCACCCGCGGACCTCGCTCCCAGCCCGAGGAGGTCACCCAGCGCCTGGCGTCAGGCTCGCGGGCTGCAAGGGTCCAAAGTTCACTGCAGGGAGAGGAGGGGGCGGTCAGAAGGTGGGGGCGAAGGTAATGAATGAAGAACTAGTCCCAGCCGTGGCCACTCACCTCGGCGCTGACCAGACTCAGGTAGCAGCAGAGAGACAGGAAGAGCGCCCAGCAGCGATTCCTGCCGACTCCGGGCCCGGCCCCGCGGGGCCCCGGACGCATAAACTGAGCGCGCCGCCCCCAGGGCCAGGGTGGGGGTCTGGGGAAGGAGGTGAGCTCGGCTTGGGTCCTCGGCGATCAGGCGCTCAGGCCGCTGCAGCTGCGGCTCCCCCGCATGGCCCCCGGGCGCCACTGCCCCCCGGCTCGGTTGCTGGGGGACAGGGGAGGACCTGGGCACAGGACCTGGATCCGAGGCCGCTACCTGGGCGGATCCCGAGCCCGAGTGAGCATCCATGGCGGGGGGGGGGGGGGGGGGAGGCTGCATTGTGAACATGCCGAGGCGTCTAGCCGTGTGGGGGCGCCCAGGGGACTCCAACCTCCAAGAGGAAAAGGAACACGGCAGTCGATGGTTCGTCTTCAATCGCAGGCTAAAGGCGTTTTCCTCTGCCCGCCGGCTTAGCTTTTTTGCAACATTTCCTGAAAAGGCCCCCAAAATAGGAAAGCGCAGGGCTGGGCACCTCAAGGCCCAAGTCTCCCCCAAAAAACTTTTTCCAAAGTTGGCTTTGCAACGGCGGCTCGAATACCCGGGCAGGGAGAGGTGCAAACTCCCGCCCGGGCTGGGTGGGGGGGGCGGGAGCGTGTGCGCCCTGGCGCGGGCCCCCGGTCGGCAGGCACCGCTGCTCAGCGCGCGCGCCATGCCCGCTCTGTGCTCCGCCGGGTTCCGCCGACAGGTGGACTCGGCGCGAGTCGGTCGGTCTGCCTGCCTGCCTGCTGGCTCACGGCTCTGGGCGTCCTCTGCGGGCTGCGAGCTGCGGCTGCTCCGGTTTTCTCTTTGCAACGAGGCTGGAGGGTGGGCTTTTTTTTTTTTCTTTTTGCGCGTGTATGTATGTGTGTGCGCGCAAAATATCTCTAGCTTGGGAATCAAAAATGGGCGCTGGCGGCCAGAGGGGAGCCCTAGGGAGGCAGCGGGGGAGGCTGCGGGCGCACGGGAAGGCAGGCGGGCCTCTCCCGGCTGCAGGAGGAGTTGCCACCCTTTCAGCTGTTCCGGCCTTTATAAAGAGAAGGGATAGTACGAGAGGTGGGTGGAGACAGCCTTTCCTCTTCTGGCCCGGTGTCAGCACCAGGAGCTGGGAGCGGGAGCTGGGGGAGGGCGGGGGCCAGGGCGGGGCGCTTAGGGGGTCTCCGAGAGCCGAGCAGCCCCTTTGTCTATGAATCTGGCCCCAGGGGAAGAAGAACTAGGGGCGACCCACTGTCCCACCCCTCAGCACAGTGACCATGGATAGGTTAGGAGCCCACGTGGTCCAGGGGGATGTCTCCAGAGCCAAGGCCAGCAGTCCAAGCTTTCCACCCTGGCACAGGCGTGGCGGGGAGGGACTCAGGCTTTGCAGCCTGGGAGCCTGAATTCAGGTCCTGCCCTGGCACTTGGGTGACCTTGGGCTAGTCACTTTCCTCTGTTTCCCTCCATCTAACCTCAACGTGAGGATGGGACTATTTTGAGGACTAAATGCCAGCAAAGGCAAAAGGCACCACAAGGTGAACCCACAAAACCAGGCAGCCAGCGCCCTTCAGCTGCAAGCTGGGTCCGAGTCTCCTCCTCCTCGCCGGTTGCCTGGCACAACAGGCCCTGCCAGCATTGGCTGAATTTGAATGTGTTGAACTGCAAAGTCACACAATCTCCCACAGCCTTGCGGCATCTTCCCAGGGCAATTAACAGGATCCTCCCGCCAGTCACCCTGCTGTTCACTATCTCCCTCAGCCCTGGGTTCGAGGCCCAGAGCCCACCCACCCACAACCAGTCTTCACACAGTTAACGCCTTCCACCCCCAGTCAGGGAGCTGCTGTGTCCCTGCCTTCAGCAGTCACACTGTCTCAGTCACAGTCACACGTACTCACGCTGGGCCCAGCACCCTCCTCGGGACATGCAGGCTCCTGCATCACCCAGCCTCCGGGCTTTCCGGCCCCCTTACCTCCTCTGCTTGCACAGTCTCTGTCTGTCATCCATCCTTCCTTTTGGGGTGCCAGCCTGCTTCTCATACAGGAGCACACTGAGAGTCACACCTGCAGTCTCTTCCTAAACTGTCTTCTTGGACCTGGACAGGGTGGAACAGAGGAGGGAGGACATCTCGGGTGGTCTTTACAGACCACTACAGGCACCCGCCCACTGCTGACTGCTACTCAGCAGCATGGCACAGTGGCAGAGAGGCAGTCTGAGGACACATCACCTTGGTTCAAATCCTGGAGTGGCCACTTGCTGGACAGGTGTCTCTGGGAAGGTTTTTTAACCTCAGCACCTCAGTGTCCTCCTTTATAAACTGGAGCTGGGTGTGGTGACACACACCTGTAGTCCTAGCTACTCGGGAGGCTGAGGACGGAGGATCGCTTTGAGCCCAGGAGTTTGAGGCTGCAGTGAGCCGTGATTGTGCCACTGCACTCCAGCCTAGGCAACAGAGCAAGACCCTATCTCTAAATAAATAAATAAATCTAGAATTGGAAGGGGCGAGGGATATCAGAGAGGCATGGCAAAATTTTAGGGGTAATGGAAATGTTTGTCATTTTTGATGGTGGTGATGGGATTGTGGGTGGATACATACATCAGGACAAAATGTGTGCACTTTATTGTACCTCAGGACATACGTAGAGAATTTTCACCCACCTCGAAGAGTGGTCTGGAGGCGCCCATGAGGTCCTCCATGTGGTGCTCAGCAGAACACCTTAGCAGGAAGCTAGTGTGTGGCTTCTTCCATGCGGCCTTGGAGTTGACTGGTGGCCCCACACTGCCCCCAGCCTTCACACAGTTACCTCTGTCTCTGACAGAGTGAACCAACCCAATTCAGGCCCCTATCTTTCAAGAGCCCCGTCGAGAAGGACAACCAGACGTATTAACAGATAAATTAGGAGACAAGGTGACAAGGGAGGTGGGGCAAGGGGAGGAGGAGATTATCCCTAAACACTGTATTTGAAATCTAAGGTCTAACAACTCAGGGATAAAAACCCTGTTCCACCGGATAGCTGGGTCATCTTGACCTTGAAATTCTGTGTCCTCCTCTATAAATAGAATGGTAGCAGCTACCATGAGTAGTGAGCTAAGGCGGTAGGTAGTGTTTTCCTTACTCTACCTGCAGCCTCTCCATACTCCTGTGAGATGTGTCATTCCTATCTTACAGATGGGGAAACGGAAGCACAGAGAGGCCAAGAAACTTGTTAAAGGTCACACAGCTCATAAGTGATAGGGCCAGGACTTGAATCTGAGCAGACCAGCTACAGAGCCCACATGCTGAAACCACCGTGCTGTGCTGTTTTCTGGTGGGTGATGCTGATGACAACGATGACACTTTTGACACTGGGCTTGCTTTGGTGCACACTACATGCATTCATGTATGGGAACATGCTCTGCTGGCTAAAAAGTAAATGCTGGACTTGTATGAACTCTGACTTAGGTACAAGTTGCGGGAGAGGGAAGGCAGGAGCAGCAGCGTGGAACACCTACTGTGTGCAGCCCCTGGGTGAAGCACTGAGAAATGGAATAGGAAGGAGACCCAGCCTTGGCACTCAGGGACTTCCCAGGCTCTGAGCAAGACAGACGCAAACCATGGCAATGCAGGTGCCAGTCCATGGGTTAGAAGTGGCAGCAGAGGGCACAGCAGAGGTGGCAGGCACTGCACGCCAGCCGGGCCTGAGTGGTGTGCTAAAATCCTCTTTTTTGTACCCTCTCCTTGCAGGGGAGCAGGCTCTAAAGAACACCGCACCGGGGCCGTGGCTCACGCCTGCATTCCCAGCAATTTGGGAGGCTGAGGCCAGAGAATCACTTGCAGCCCTAAGTCCGAGACCAGCCAGAGCAACATAGCAAGACCTCATCTCTTTAAAAAAATTACCAAAAAAAAAAAAAAAAAGTTGAATGTGGCCCCAGCTACTCCGGATGCTGAGGCAGGAGGGAGAACCCCTTGAGCCCAGGAGTTCAAGACTTCAGTGAGCTGAGATCACACCACTGCCCTCCAGCCTGGGTGACAGAGTGAGACTCCATCTCTAAAAACGTTGGATTTTTTTTTTTTTTTTAAGATGAAGTCCTGCTGGACTGCAGTGACACCATCTTGGCTCACTGCAACCTCTGCCTTCCAGGTTCAAATGATTCTCCTGCCTCAGCCTCCTGAGTAGCTGGGACTACAGGCACGCATCACCACACCCAGCTAATTTTTATATTTTTAGTAGAGACAGGTTCACCATGTTGGCCAGGCTGGTCTTGAACTCCTGATCTTGAGTGATCTCTTCCCCACCCTCAGCCTCCCAAAGTGCTGGGATTACAGGCGTGAGCCACCATGCCCAGCCTAAAAATATTCTTTTAATAAATAAAGAACACCTGCTCCTCTTCCTCCTGCCAGGCTGGGCATAGCAGGCACCTCCTCCAGAAGGCCCGCCAGTCTTGGCACTTGTCCCAGGCTCCCACAGCGTGCATCCCAGGCCTCATCATGGCCCGATCGTCAGTCTAGCACTAGACTGAGCCCAGCGTGCTCCAGCCTCCCGCCAGCTCCCAGCATACAGTGGCTGTTCAAGAAGGGCCTGCTTGCTGAAGGAATGAATAAATTATTAAGACCCTGTCTGTTTCTCTCTCTCAGTCCTGACCAGTTATTGCAGAGATGCCAGGCCCTTCCTAAAGGGTGGAAAGAGTTGGGGGCTTGTAGCATGAGCCTCCAAACTTGGCAGCACGAGGCCCCTGCGGGGCTCCGCTTCCTGAGGTGTCAGAACTGGGGAGGGTCTGCAGTTCTGGGGAGGCCACCCTGAATGCACGTGGTCTCATCAACCTCAGGAGCACTTGAATGGGAGAACCAGGAAGGCTCCCGCCCATCTTCACATTCGGGCCACTGAGGAATCAGTTTCTCCAGCAGAGCAAGGGGTTGGGGGGCCCCACACCCCCATAACTCTCCACTTTCCACTCTAAGACAGGTCAGAGCCAAGTGGCCACAGCCCTGGGGGATGGGGGCACTGCCCAAGGTTAGACTGTGTGCTCAGCGCTCTCCAAGCCCTCGTCCATGAAGAGCATCTTACTCCCTGTGTGTGGGGGCCCGGGACGCTGGCTGGGGTGAAGAAATAGCAAGGAAGGAGTTGTGTTCCATCCCAGGGGCAAACTCATGCCCCCAAGTCCAGAAGGCTGAGAGTGACTAGTGCTGGGGGCCTGCCTCCACCAAGAGGGGCCAGCCACACCTGGGCCAAGCAGCTCTGCCTCTCCATACTTGATGGAGAGGAAGTGGGGCTTTAAGCTGGGGACCATCCAAGGCCGTGCCACAAATGGTCCGAGATGCCAGGCCCTACCCCACTCTGCATGGCCCTCCCCAGCTCCCCCAAACCCCTTGCTGCCCCATCCCCTGCCTCCCTATCTACAGGGCCTTTGGCTGGCCACAAGGCACTTCCTTCCCCTCTGCCTGCCTCACCCTCACAGTCACCCAGGGAGAAGCCACTGCCATCTTATGTGCCCATTGCACAGATGAGGAAGGTGAGGCTGAGAGAGGGCATGGGACTAGGCTTCCCATCAAAGACCACCTCGTTCAAAGCCTTGCTCTTTCATCTACTAGTTCTGTGACCTTTATTTTTTGTTTTTATTTTTATTTTTTGAGATGGAGACTCGCTCTGTCGCCAGGCTGGAGTGCAATGGCGCAATCTTGGCTCACTGAAACCTCTGCCTCCCAGGTTCCAGAGATTCTCCTGCCTCAGCCTCCCGAATAGTTGAGATTACAGGTGTCCGCCACCATGCCCAGCTAATTTTTACATTTTTAGTAGAGATGGGGTTTCACCATGTTGGTCAGGATGGTCTCAATCTCCTGACCTTGTGATTCGACCGCCTCGGCCTCCCAAAGTGCTGGGATTACAGGTGTGAGCCCCCAGGCCCGGCCACCTGGCTAATCATCCTGGATGATTTGGGTGGGCCCAGCATGATCACAAGAATCCGTGGATGTGCAAGAGGGAGGCAGAAGAGCGAGCGTCAGGGTTGGAGGGAGCAGGAAAGGCTGTGCCGCTGGCATTGAGGGGTGGAAGGAGCCCCAAGCCAAGGCATGCAGGTGGCCTCTAGGAGCTGGAAAGGCAAAGGCGAGCCCCTGAAGCCACAGGCCCTGCCCGCACCATGACTTCAGCCCACGACACCCATTTCAGACTTCCGACCCCCGGAGCTGTAAGAGCACACTTCCGTGTTATTTTCAGCCGCCACATTTGTGGTGGTTCCTCCCAGCAGCAATAGGAAACGAACGCAGTTGTAGTGTGGGCCCAAAACCACTTTCCTCTGAATTTACGTTTGTTTTGTTTTGTTTTGAACTGAGTCTCACTCTGCCACCCAGGCTGGAGTGCTGTGGCACAATCATGGCTGACTGCAGCCTCAACCTCCCAGGCTCAAGTGATCTTCCCATCCCAGCTTCCTGAGTGCGGGGACCATGGGCATGCAACACCATGCCTGGCTAATTTTTGTTTGTATGTTTGTTTAGATGGAGTTTTGCTCTTGTCCCCCCAGGCTGGAGTGCAATGTTGAGATCTCGGCTCACTGCAACCTCCACCTCC